TGCCTCCAGCGGACCAGATCCCTCCTGGATGGGCATTCTACCCCAGCCAAGGGTGGGTGCAATATCAGTGGACACCTGCCCCAGTCCTGCAACCAATGTCCTTCCATCAGCTCACACAATTCCAGCCACTGATTATAGCTCCGCAGCTGGTACCAGCCCAGCTGCAACCGCAGCTTCAACCTCCGGTCATGGCCCCGCAACAGGTTCTAGCCCAACAACCAGTACCAGCCCAGAAACCCGCGCACGCTCAGCAACTGGTCCTGCCAGCTGCTCCCCCTCCATGGTTCAGAGCAATGTTTGACAGGACTCCAGTGAGGCTAGCCTATTTCCTCAACCAAATTTGGGCTTACATCAACCAATATAGAAATCAATACCCATCTGATCAGGAATTGATTTCAGCCATCGCAGATGGCAAGAACAAAAGAGAAGCAGCGGAGTGGAAAGCGGAACTTCATGATGAAGAAGCCCCTCAGCTAGAAGATGCTGACAAGTTTGTCCAACTGATACGGGGCTGGTTCGAGGACATGACCCATCGAGTGGAAGCTGAATCCCAGATTAAGGCACTGAAGCAAGCCAGTTGACCCCCTAAAGAACTAATTTGGGGGTTTCAGAGACTAGCCAGGAAGCTGGGAGACTGGCCATTCCACCTCCTAGTCCACCACTTCAAGGAGGCTCTCGACCCAGACCTCAGGCAAGCCTGTGGCATCAGAGGTATACCAGAGCACATACAAACATGGTACAACACAGCTGTCGCACATGGACCTGGAATTCTACCCCCACAGGAAACCAACTGTAGATAAACCAATGAGAAGACCTGAGTCACAGAACGCTGGTGAAACAGACTGAAGCTCTGCCCACACACCGTCCGGGACTGTCATATGTTACCGGTGTGGTCAGCACGGGCACCAAGCTTCCGAATGCTTGGCTCCATCTCCGTCCCCAGTTCCCCAAGCCCAGCCTTCTGCCACAGCAAGGACAAGGAGGACCCCACGGAAGCCACCTGATAAAGGGAAACTCACCAAGCAGGCTGTAGAGGTTCTACTCCTTCCCAACAAAATTGAGGGAACTCCCACCAAAGAGGCCCCTCCAGTCCCCGCAGAAGAGAGCAGTGGCGATGACAACCCGATGGTAAGTGCAACCATCTGCCCCTTTACTATCAAGACCAGAATAATGGAAAAAGAAAAAATACCCATAGTTAAAGAAGAGCAGAGGCAAAGACTGAAGCGGGGGCCATGGGGGTGGTTGAGGGGACCAGAGACACGGGAGAGGGTCGGGGTATTACAGTCGTAACAGGTAGGGGCCGATACGGCGGGGACTTTAGGGCACGCCATTACCGGGGAAGGAGGGTTCGCTACATCACA